TCACATCTCCTTCCTCCCATCCAGCTTCCCACCCTCTATCCATTCATGACTTCTTTCACATCTCCTTCCTCCCATCCAGCTTCCCACCCTCTATCCATTCATTACTTCTTTCACATCTCCTTCCTCCCATCCAGCTTCCCACCCTCTATCCATTCATTGCTTCTTTCACATCTCCCTCCTCCCATCCAGCCTCCCACCCTCTATCCATTCATGACGTCTTTCACATCTTCTTCCTCCCATCCTCTATCCATTTATGACATCTTTCACATCTCCCTCCTCCCATCCAGCTTCCCACCCTCTATCCATTCATTACTTCTTTCACATATCCTTCCTTCTTCCACACATACATCCTCTTCCATTCTCCTACCTAGTCACTCACCCATTTATCCACTGGCCACATGCCTTCCTTTCACCTTCTCTCGAGCCATCCTTCCATCCTTCCATCCTTCCATCCTCTTCATTTCATCCAGCCATCCTTTAATTTCCCACCTTCTGCCCTCTCCCTTGCCTCCCACCTTTGCATCCATCATCCCTCCATCTTTTTCTCCATCCACATGTCCAGCCAACATTTATCCACATATATCCATCTCTCCTCCATCCGGGGCCACTAATAAAGCAGACTGGTTGGCGACAACCACTGAGTTACTGCTGGACTTGTGGGGTTAGACCCACTTCTCCTGGTAGAGGATTCTGGCCTTGTCTCTTAGTGACTCAGTGCCTCTGGACCCCTGGGTTTTGGAAACAATAGGGGCCTGTACTTCCAGGCACTTTGGCTGTGTCCCCCTGACTTGCCAAGGGGAGTGGGCCGAGGGAGCTGTGGGGATTCCTGGTGCAAAACACAGCTTGACTTCAGTGTGGCTTCTTCAGGCTTTATTTCGATTGCTATTCAGCCAGCTGGCTTGACCTGGTCAGAGCCACATTTGTAACAGGAAATGAATGCCACCTGGACCGTCCCTAGGTGCAGGGCTGCACAATAGCCACCTGAGCTTGGTGCAAACATTGCCTCCCAATCCATCCCCGTTGTCCAGGGGAGGAAACCAGGCTCACCGAGGTGAGATCTCTTTCCCAAGTTCCTGGTCAAGTCTCCCAGGCTCCAGAGTCTACAAGCACTGCTGGCCTCCACACCCCTCTGGCCTCCTCCCCTGGGAAGCTGCATGGAAGGAAATGCTGCCCCCTCCCGCCTTCCCACTCCAATGAGCCAAGGGCAAGGGGCGTCAGTCAGCTATGGCTGCTTCACTGGAAGCCCCTCTGTTGGGCCCCTGGGGAGATGGCCCAGGGTGGCTAGCCCAGCACCCACAAGGCAGCCCTGCCACAGACTTGTCTTCCTGGGAACCTGCTAGAGCAGGTGGCCTGTGTGGAAGGGAAGTCTTAAGTGAACACACCTTTCGGGGTGCTTGCTTCATTCATCCAGAACTGAGATTTTCAAGGGGGCTTTGCTCTGGCCACAAGAGGGCAGCCAACCTATGGGCAGATGGGAGTGGGAGAGATGGCGTCACCTGCCCGCTTCTCATCTGGAGAAAAAAAAAAAAATCCCCAAACACTCTAAAACTCCCCAAACCCAACCCAGGGAGCAGCTGATAGGCTAGAGCCACCAGCATTGGGCTGGCAGCTGAGCGCTTCATGGCTGCGACACCAGGACTTTCTCATCAGTAGGGTAATCATCGCATTTCCCTTGGGGGGTTACTGGGACACTTAAATAAGTTAATAGTTACCAAAACAAGGCTTCACACTCATTCTCACCGGTTCAACCACAGAAATCTCGCGGCCCTCTTTAAAAACAAGGGCAGCGTAGCCACCAGACTGCATAGCAGCCACATCACCTGACCGGCCGAGTTGGAAACGGTGCTGCTTGGCTCAAAGACGGCAGCCGGCCATGCCGATTAGAACGTTTGTCTCTCCCACAGTCCTGACAAGGGCTCCGCACTCCTCTCCTGAGCCCCCCATTCCAGGGCTCCAACCTGCAGGTTGTCCTGCCTGGTGGTGGTTGTCTGAGTGACCCCACATTGGACAGGTTCCGATCTGTCCGATTTTGCAGGCGTTTGCAGCCTGCACGAAGCACTCCACTACAGAAATATACTGCTGTCAGTGTTGCTCTTCAGACTGGGGTTCATCCTTGTTTGGTAAACTGGGGGGGAAAAACACCAAAAAACAACTAAACTGAAAGAATCAATGTCTTCTGTTTGTTTTGTTTTTAATTAAAAGATCGGTTTATTGGGCGCTCATACAGCTCTTATAAGAATCCATACATCAGTCGAATCAAGCATATTTGCACATAGGTTGCCATCGTTATTTTCTAAACCTTGACTTTCTGCTTGAGCCCTTGGTATCAGCTCCTCTTTTTTCCCCTCCCTCCTCACTCGTGACCCCTTGATAAATTATAAATTATTATTTTCATATCTTACACCCACCACTGTCTCCCTTCCCCCATGGTTTTTGTTGTTTATCCCGGGGTGGGGGTGGGGTGCGTGTGCGTGCGCGGTTGTGTGTTGATCATTGTAATTGGTTCCCCCCTTCTCTCCTCCTATCCCCATCTTCCCCTTACCCTCCTGGTATCACTACTCCCATTCCTATTCCTGGATTCCGTGTGTCTTGAACTCTTATCTCTTATCTGTACCTGTTCACCTGCTTTGATCTAGCCCGCAGTGGAAGGCAGGTCTGGGATCATGATAGTTGCGAGGGGGTGGGGGAGCAAGTGAGGAAGCTTCAAGGAACCAGAGGAATATGGTGTGTTCCATCGGTGCTTTACTGCACCCTGGTTGACTCATCCCTTCCCTGTGAGCCCTCTGTGAGCACACGTCCCATGGTGGGTGCCTTATTACGTTGCTTGAAGACCATAGTGGTGGGTGGGAGTCCTTCATCCCTTGGTGTTGCTTCTTCAGCCCTTCACCACTGTGGGAAAGTGAATGACCGGTGTGCCTGGCAGATGACCAGAAAAAAAAAAGCAACAATGAGTAATGCAGAGTGTCCCGAAAACTCTGGCCTTTTGGTTTCACCATTGGCTTGTGGCTGACAGCTAAGCCCCTGCCTTCTTGCCCCCATCGCCCATCGGCCCTCCATGCTATAGTCAGAAGGCAAATGCTGGCTGGTAGGCAGGGCCAGAGAGATTGCACAGAGTGGAGATGGGGCGGCCCCATCCCATCTATCTACCCTGGAACCGGGTGGCATCTGCTGTATTCTCTTTCCATTCACCATTTAATGGGCCTTCCACAAACACCTCGGTTCCTGCCGTGTGTGATCAGGCTGCTGGGCACAGGGTCCACAGAGCCTCACCTCCACCTTGGGGTTCTTGAAGAGCCCCCCCAGTAGGGCTGAACTCTCCCATGATGCCACTACGTAGTACCCGCAGTAGAATTCTTTCTCCTCAAGTCACCCTTACAATAGTCTCTTTCTTTTTTTAATAGTGTTATTGGCATGGCAGGCACATCATATCATTCGGCAGCTCCGTCATAACCAGCAGAGTTGTACAATCATCGCCACAATCAATCTTAGAACATTTGCTTCTTTCTTGTGCTCATGGTGATTAGCTCCGCCCCCGCCCCATTCTTTGTTATAAAGCATCTCAGCCTGAGCCCCACGCAGGATACCCAGTAACTACTCATGTCTATGCTGGTGTTGGGCACGGGGCTCCCCGACACAGTGCTCAGTGTGCATGGATGACGTCATTGGAATCTCTCCACCACCACTTTCATGCAGGACGGTTGAGGAAGCTGAGGCCTGGAGACGTGGAACAGACTCACCCAAACTCACACAACCAGTGGGTGGGAGGGTCAATATTTAAACCTGGAGAGTCTGGCCCCCTTAATCCTGCCCTTGACCATAAGGTGGACCAGGGATGAAGAGTGGGGTACCCTGAGCCTCTTGTCTATATGGCTTCCCCACATCCCTCGAGGTGGTTCCCGGAACCCCCCCGGCCAACCTTCAGCCTTCAGGAGCACCCTCCCTTCTTCAATCCTCAGGCAGGCACCCTGTGTAGTGACCCTGGGTGGGCTCTGCAGAAGGTGCCCAGTACCAGAAGGAGGTCATGCTTCCAGGGCTGGGGGTGGGGGCAGTGCTAGGAACCTGCTCAAGCCTTACATTCTCTCCTGGAACCTCTTAAAGGCCACTAGGATCATGTTTTCATTCTTTTTATATGGATGGGAGGCGGTGGATTTGGGAAATCTCAACACAGGGGAGCGCATGCCACCTTGCCACAGAGACGGTCACCCTGTGTGACCTGCTGCTTTCATTTCCTTGGCCACGCTCACCATTCCGAATGGTGGAGTCAGGGTCCCGCGTCACCCAGAAAGATGTGGCTCACCCACGGGCATGGAGTGGAACAATGCTGTGCTCACCAAGAAGTGGCCGGGCTCTGTCTGCTCCGGTGGGCATTGGTATTCCATGGCCAGCAGGTCATGCCCTTTGGCAGCTGACATGGGGCCGGCGGTCTGCTCAGACCCCTCCTGTGCTGCAGAAGAGGGGTGACTGGCCCGCAGCCACCTGACACACGGGCAGGAGGGCGACTGTGTACCTAGAACAGGACAGCCGTTTCCCTGGGGAAGGAGACTCAGCTCCCAGTCTCCACCATCAGCAAATACTCCGGGCCTGGAACCTCTGAATAAGCATCCGGGTGAGGGGGTCGGAAGGCTGTACGATAATTTGCTTTCTCATTTTCCCAAGACCATGAAGCAGTGGCCATGGATTGGGTGCTCGGGCCGGGACCTTAGCATGTGCAAGCCGAAGCTGGGGGTGGGGGTGATTGGTGCCAGAAGCGGAACAGGCCCCCCAGTTTCTTGAGCCTCTCCAAGGCAGGCATTTGAGGGCACCCTCCATGGTGGGGGTGGGCTTTTCACAGGGCCCCTTGCCCAGCCCCCATGTCTGAGCCCCCAGAGAGCTGGCGGGGTGCCTTGAATAATTCCACCCTCTGGATCCCCCACTCGTGGTCCAAGGCCAAAGGTGGAGCGCCGTTTTCTGGTTTTGCACACTCAGAGTTAGACGTTTCTCTCTCTTTCTGTCCCTTCCAGAGCCAAGAAGAAGAGCAAACCTCTGAACCTCAAGATCCACAGCAGCGTGGGCAGCTGCGAGAACATCCCCTCCCAGCAGCGCTCACCCCTCCTGGGCGAGCGCTCCCTCCGCTCCTTCTTTATGGGACATCAGGCCGTAGCGCCCTCCACGCCCCCGGTCCACAGCGAGAGCACCCCCTCTGCAAGTAAGTCACCCCGGGCCGGGGGCACCTGCCCTCTCCCCCAGCCAGGTGCACCCTCTCCTTTCCTGCTCTCCCGGCCCAGGCTCCTCCGCCCTCATGCCTGGGCACACCTCCTGGGTCTCTCACCCCGCCGCCCGCCCACGTCTGGTGTCTGAGAGACTGGGGTGACTGTCACGTGTGTAGAGCTGTTGCTCTCTCGCCTGCAGGTGTTCAGGGATGGAGTGTTCGTCCAGGTAGACCAGAGAAGCAAAGTCATAGACACACAAATGTGAATAAGATAGAGGTTTATAGACAAGAGCAACAAATATTGAGAAAACGTCCCAGTCCAGTTCAGATCCAGTCCAGAAGTCTGATATGAGCCCATAAGTCTGATACCAATCTATAAAGTCCTTCAGACTCACGAAATACATACCGATCTATAAAGTCCTCTTCCGACTCACGGAACACATGCAATGACACCGAATGCAGGAAGATCACAAGGCAGTGGGTGGGAAGTCTTGTGGATCCAGTGGCGTTGTAAGCATCTCAGCACTGGCAGGGATCTCCATGAGGTCTGGCTCCATCAGCCTCCCTCCAAGTATCTTCTCCACAGGGATGTCTCCCAGGGAGTGACCCGAGAGTGTCACCCGCCTCCAAGGAGGAAATACAGGAGTTCCCAGAATCCTCAGGAGAAGGCCAGGCCCACACAGAGGCCTCGTTGGCTATGACCTGATTGACAGGCTAGACTCCACCCCATCGCTCTGAATCCTCTCAAATTAACAAACAGTTATACAACTTCCACAGATGGGGAAACCGGCCCTTCCCTCCCCTGCCCCTCCACTGCCACTCTCGCCCGGCTCCGGTCCTAGAGCGGCTATGGCAGCACGCATGACATTTGTGTAGTTTGTCGTCATGCCCCACGTTGATGGGCTCACTGAGTGTTTGAAACCATCCATTGACCAGAGGGTTTTCTCCCATGGTCCAGATGAGGAAACTGAGGCCCAGACGTGTTCTAGGGCATGCCCTGTTACAGAGTTGAGCCTAGGGATTTTGATCCAGGTTTTTTGGGTGTGTTTTTTTCTAACTCCAGTGCACTCAAGTTCACCCATGTAATCTGATAACCAAGTTACCGGCCGTCTGCCTTTCTCTAGACACATGGTTTCATCTCGACCTTTCCACTAGGGTCTTGGAGGTTTGTCTCCTGAGGCCCCTCTGAGAATTGGATAACATGGGCTAGTGCTCTCTCTGGGAAAATGCTCCAGCAGGGCGTAGAACTCTGCTTTGGCCTAGCCAGCTGGTTAGGCTGGGTTGGCGTGGATAGCTCGGCTTAGAGTCTCCTCTGAGCATCATGCACCCCCGGCAGGGACCAGAGGAGGGCTTGGGCCCCGGCAGGAGAGAAAGCCCCAGCCCTGGCGTGCCTTTCTGTGCCCAGTGTGCGCAGCCCAGACCCAGGCAAGCGCAAACAGCCGCTGAGTCAGCCCTGACAACACCCGAAGGCCGACTTATTAATTTGTCCAGAGCTCACTGCCAGCGGAGTCAGAGACGCTCCACATGGGGGCCTGCGTGGCCCTGAGCTGGGATGAGGGAAAGGCTTGGCATCCTGCGGGACCCGCCCCTTGGCCAGGAGCATAGTCCTGGAGGCAGGTCCCTGCTTTCTCTCCCAGCTCTGCTGTTCCCGGGCAGGGCGTCTGACCTTGAGCAAGAGGAGAGCCTCGTGGAGCCTCGGTGTCTGCATCTGCAAAATGGGGGCGACCTTGGCACCCCGACTGCTAGCCTTTCATGCTAATGCCTGGAGACAGCCTTAGGCAGAGTGGGGAGGCTAAGCCTGGGAACCTCAGGGCTACCTTGCATCTTCAGGGCATGCCCGAATTCCGGGTCTGGGACTAAGGAGAGGAGGGGACCGTGGGGAGCCAGATGCACAGAGGAGCCTGGCCAGCCCTGGGGGTCCAAGCTTCTCTGAGTTATGAACAAGTCCCAAGATAACAGACACTTTTATTCCACACGGAATAAAAATACAGCAGCGAGCCTACTTCCCAGAAAAACAGAGCACAGGGGCCTCTGTGCTCCCTGCTGCAGCCCCAGAGCTCCCCAAGGCCAACCAGCTGACCCCAGCCCACCTAGGTGTCAGGCCACCTCTCAGTTCCCTGCAAAGGGTTCTTCAGAATGAAAAAAAATAGCCATCACCTCGTTGAGAGGAGTGATTATTCATCACCGTTCTTTACCAGTGGAAGGGATTTCAGGCTTAGAGCCACTAAGTGGTTGCCGGTGTGTCAGTAGACAAACCACTTAACCTCCCCAGTCTGTTTTCTCCCCAAAGTCAGTCTCCAGCCCCGAGGCCGGGCCCTCGAGGCCCTGAGCACCTCGTCTCTGGAGATGGTAGCTTTGAGGGGCTGTTGGTCATTCGGTGACGGGCTGGATAGCTGTAACAGTGATGGAAATGATGATGACGACGATGTGCACTGGTTTGCAAAAGGAGGATAAGAAACGGGCATCGATGGCCTGCTGGCAGCGCTCCGGGCTTTGTACAGAAGCAGTGTGCTTTTGCAGTTTCATCCGTGCTTTGCCGTACTCTCGAGTTAGGTATGACTGAAAAAACCCCAAAAAACCCAAACAACAGAATGGGCCCCAAAGCCAGCTGCCGTTGCATCAGCGCCAACTTAACGGCACCCGTGCTCTGCGGGGCTTCCGATGGCAGGGCACTCAAGAGCAGACTGGCACCCTGTTCATCTGAGGTGCTTTGGATGAGCTCGGCCCTCCATCCTACCTGCTGCCGCTGGGCACGTGAGGGGCTCCACCCCACCCCCGTCTGACAGACGAGGACACTGGGACTGGGAGAGGTTCAGGCACTCACCCAGAGCCAGTAAAGAGACGGTGTTTGCTGTCATTCTGAATCCACCCGGCTCCAGCATCTTGGGGTGAGTTTGCAAGTCCCCCTTCACTGTAACCTGCTCATGCAGCAGGGGACTTAAGTTGCTCTGGTTGCTCTGGGGTGGTGGAGGTTGGGATGGGGATTGTGTGGTGGGGGACAGGCTCTGAGGATGCTTCTTCTCAGTCGGAAAGCAGCCCCCTTGCTGGTGGCTAACCAATGGCCACCTGGACCCTGTTGCTGATCAGGGAGCCCTCCTCCCAGGCGGTAGGTTCCCAGGGAACACAGCAGCTGCAGCCAGCCCCCGAACCGTCCCTGTTGGCACGTGGTGGCCGAAGATGAGGGATGGCCAGGTAGATCTGCCGCCTGCAGTTCTCGGGGTGTTGCCTATGGGCATAGAGCACATCAAAGCAGCTGCAGCTTCTGAGGGGAGCAGGTGACGGATGGTTCCAGAACCTCCCCGTCTTGGTCTTTCTTAATGACTCCTGCTGAGGTTGCCCAGGAGGCCCTTGCCTTATGAAATATTGTCCTTCTACCCCCACGATGCCTTGAAGCGTGGCATGCCCTTCCCTCAACCCCCTTCCCAAGCACCTCCGGCTCTCTGTCTTGGAGACAGGGCCACAGACCCCTGACCCTGGCGTGGGAGCCTGGCCTCTTGGGCACCCGGAGGCTGAGTCGGAAGCTTGATTTGCCGGGGAGGCAGCAGGTAGCAATGAAGACCGGTGAAGCTGAACTGTGTCCTCCCAGGGAACCAGCCACCAGGAGGGTTATAAAGAGGCTCGGTGAGGGGGTGATTCTATAATGGGGTTTAATGAGGCTTAAAGCCAAGGTTCATTACCCCCTGAAAGAGGAGAGGGGAGCGTGAGAGAAGTTTTCTGTCCCAGCCTCCCTCCTCTCAGAATCAGGAGTGGCGGCGAGGCGGTTGGGTCTGGCCGGGCTGCGTGGTGGCAAGTCCACGGGGAAATGAAGGTGACGGGACACTTTTTTTTTTCTTTACCAAAAAGCTTTTGCCACCCCCTGGGACATGTGGCTGTGCGCCA